CCTAATGGATAAGATCCCTGCAACCTTCAAGAAAGTTTAATAACTTATTCCATCCCATATTGGTGGTCTCAACCTATACAGAGGAGGAGGATCAAGTTGTGTGAACCAACTCCTTCATCTGCAGTGCGACTTTATAAGCGATTACAGGAACAGAAGCAAAAGGAACTGGAAGCAGCAGATCTGACAGAAGACGCCAACAGACCAGAAAACAAAATCCCACAGCATTTAAAACAGACCAAAGCAATAAACAATAATTTATATATATATGTATATATATATATATGTATTTTATGTATCTCTGTTTCTACTGTATTGCCAAAGACCAATTTCCATTCAATACAAATCTAACGGACGATAAAATTTTAACTTAGAATAATTGATTCCTCCCAACTCAGATAAGAACACCTCTGAATTCCCACACCAATTATCTTGCAGCATTGCACACCTGCCCTCCACGGTATCTGAGTGAAAGATTTTAAGCAGAACCTGGCAAACAATAAAGTGACCTGAATTTTCTTTACAAATTTAAGATTAGACAATCACTCGCTTGCCCCAACAGTATATTAATATCTGTATAACTCAAAATTGACTTACAATAAGTAAGTTAGAGTCACTTAGATAACCGGCCATGTTAATGACAAGAAGTGACAGGTTCTTCCTTCTGTCTGCAACTGAAACCGATAGAAGCTTGCCAGTGAATTGGCAGCAACAAATGGAAGACTCAGAGGACCTAAAATATGGGAATGAGGGCAGAGAGAATAGACAGGACCATGGTCAAACCATGCAGTAGATAGAAAAACCATTTCCTGATTCTCAATGATCTTTTAGTTCAGAAAACAGACTCATCAGATTAAAGACATCCAGTATGTTTGTTGACTCTTGACAAAAACTTGATTATCTCGACTCAGTCTAATACTCAACTAGTATCACAGCATTAGGAAGCAGTGTTGTAATGTTGCCTAGTCTACATGCAATGCTGCTGAAATGTCAGTCCTCACTATTCAATCAACAGCGAATGGGAAATGTTAATTATTTCAACACAGCTGTGTCTGAACCTTAGACTTATCCTCAGAGCTTTCAGACATGACAATATAATCATAACTGTCCAAGCAAAAGCAGACAGGACAGGCATTCGTGAAGACTACAGGAAGTGATTGATCACACAATAGCAGTTCACTTCCAGCTCCATGAGAAAAATGATTTATTCTACAGAGGGCCGATAAAACGGCTAAAACCTGCTGTTTGCCATTTTCCATAATGTTTCAGGTCAAAAAAGATGCACCGAATAATTACAGCACCATCTGCTCGGAGGTGAATAATAAGGCATCGCTCACACACTATAAGTGTACGCACTATTGTTAAACTTACAACAACATTAGAAGATTACAATCATTATAATCATTTCTGACATGCAGTGTAATACAGTTGCAATCGGAAATATTCAGGCCCCCAAAGGAGGTAAGGATTTATGACTTTGAACTTTCCTGCAGAGCCAGATTTTACTTTAAATTAAGTTGTTATCAGTTGAATGATACAGGAAATGAACAAAGAAAATGATATTTTTGTATTTGTTAATACTGCCAAGGCAGAAAATTACTCAACCCCTACATAATATTGCTGATTTTAAAACCTACTGTGAGCCTGGATGACCTAAAGTTGATTAAACCCCTGGGAACTCAATAACAACCCTTAATTTGCTTCAGCTGTGATGTGTTTCGATAAACATCACCCAGGGATGTGTTCAAGGTGTGTTGCAACCATGTTGAAGACTAAGGAGCCGAGAGAGGAGATCATTTGATTGCACAAAAAGGACAATGGGTATAAAATGATTTCCAAGACTTGGAACATTCCTAAAGACACCATTGGGAGCACTGTACGGAAATTCAGGACTTACAGCACAGCAGAGAAACCTGCCTGGCTGTGGGAGAAAGCCCAAAATTTCATCATAGATGCTCACCATCTCATCAGGACTATGAAGAAAAACCCCTGTGTTACTGCACAAGAATTAAAGGATGACCTGATGAAGGCTGGGACAAATGTGTTAGTGCCAACCATAAGAAGCTCACTAAACAAACAAGGACTAACTGGCCGCACTCCATGATGCAAGTCATTCCTAAACCAAGAAGCACAAGAGGGGTTGACTGGAATATGCCAGAGGGAATTTGGATAGGCCTGCAGAGCTCTGGGACACCGTTCAAAAACAAACAAATCTTTTAACTGTTTGGCAGTTTGCGGGCAAGCAAGGTGAGGAATACTATCCCTACGGTGAAGCATGGAGGTGAGTCGGTGATGACATCGGGATGTTTTTCTGCTGCAGGAACGGGCAATCTTAACCGTTTGACTGGCGTCATGGATTCACTGAAATACCGAGCCATTTTGAGGAGCAATCTTATGCTTTCTCTGGTGAACTTCAACCTTTTGACTGGACTCTCCAGCAAGACAATGATCCCAAGCACACTTCCAAGTCATCAGAGCTTGGTTAAGGAATCAGTCCTGGAATGTCCTGGATTTAAATCCCAAAGAAAAATCTTTGGTGGGATTTAAAGCAACATGGAAACAATCAAACCTCAATGAGCTGGAAACGTTTGCATGAAAAGGGTGGGAAAAGATTCAAAGACAGAGGTGTCAGAAGCTTGTCAGCACTTACCAAAATCACTTATTAGAGGTTCTCAAGGCAAAAGGATGCTCCACCAAGTGTGGTTGGGGGTTGAACATAAAATTATGTCAATTTATGTTATCAAAATAAATAAATATTATTACCCTGTTTACTGAGACTTGTTGTCTATTTTCATTCAATTCCATACACATCACCAAAATACCTTTCAAGGTGAGAGGGGTTGAATATTCCTGATTGCAACTTTATATCACACACCAGGGAGGTTCAGGAAACAAACTGACTGTTCAAAGACATGATAGCTGAACAGATAGCTGCACGATATTTGTTGCCATAGCAGCTGTTGTAAACAATGGGCAAGATAAGAATGTGAAGAAACTTTTCAGAAAGCATTTGCACTGGGAAATGTTTGGTTCTTCGAAGATAATGACAATGTTTGGATACAACTCGTACATCCTGCATCACCAGACAAAGAAATCTAAAGCTCAAGTTTTACAGTTCTAATAATTATGGTGATAAAAATGTGTTTAAGATAGATTATACTGCATTTTGAATGTGGTTACAGCCATTATTCCTCAGTCACACAACCATTCAATTGTATTATGAAAAGGCACTCTTCTCTGTGTGTGAATACAAACAGTCCAGAAATATGGATCATGGTATTGATGAACATTATTACCAGCAAAATGACTGTCCCTTTGTCTCTCACCCTTAAACCACTTACCACTAGATATTCCCCAACTATCCAACAAAAGCTGTAACTCTCACTTCAGTGTGAGACATTATTTTGATTTTCCTGTGCATCCAGCAGGCCACAGCGCTTTATCTCACCCAATGATAATTAAATGTCATTTTCACAGATAATTTTATCTCATTCTGAACGAAAGTATCCAATTCAGCTGAATCACTTATAATTTTGCCAGAGTCAATAAATACTCAGCATTCACTGGACACAATCTGTGATTTCTACAGGCCTGTTTCTGCAAACATGTTATCTAAGTGCTTGTACCTCATTGTTTGGCAATTTTTCATTCATCACAGATGACATCTCCCATGAGCAGACTACGGGAAAGAAACCAAATCGTTGCTATAACTGTATGAAATGTGAAAAATTTCACAATTTAAATGTGACAAAGGGTTCTGGCAGAGGGCCGATGCTGATGGTGTGCACATGTGCATGCAAATGTAACTTGCAACACGTTCAGCATAAATGAAATGTGGTGGCTGAAGGTAGCAGCACCAAAGCTTTTCAATCAATATCCCAGCCGCCAGTGAGGCTGGGGACCATTAGCACCAGTGAGCCAAGTAAAGTGACTCTGATGTGAAATGACAGGGGTTTTCACAGAAGCTGCCCTACCGTTTCCCTCATTGTCATTTACACATGCACGCGCTCTCTCTCTCTCTCTCTCTCTCACACTCACACTCACACACACGGCTACCCTACACTGCAGCTACCCTCACTTGACAACTGAATGCACTCATACTGTTGTTTTGTTTTCAAAAAAATGTCTGTCAATGTCAATTCATTCATTTCAGCAGTCATAAAGCCTCTCAGTTCCTACACTACATGTCTGGGTTTCATTTTTTATCCTGCTTTAATCAGCCAATTACTATTTGAGTTATGAAGTAAGAACTCTTGACATGCTTTTAGGAGCATCCCACAAATTATACTGACAAGCCACTTATAATATGAAGTGACAATAATAACCATACATTACCACACAAAGTACAATGTATAGACTGTTCAACATGAAAAAAAGGTCAATCATTTTCAAACTGCTGCTTAGATAAGAACATCTATGGTGTGACACAAGCACATATGATACTGTATGTAAAAAAAAAAAAAAAAAAAAAAAACATTGTCGTTTTTGAAATGGGCGTCTCCTCGTGCAAAATCACCTTAACCCTTTGCATAGGCTGGTGCACAATATGGTTAAAATGTGATCTCCATATGGCAAAGCTGGTGATTTGTGCAGCTTTCAGCCATGCTGGCGTGGTTGAGGGTGCACCCTCCTTAAATCCACGTTTAACAAATTTGTGCAGATTTCATTAGGCAGCACACAGCTGTAGCGAGCGTTAAATGACTTAATGATCAATTGACTCAAAGACTTAAAGGGGAAATCATGATTTTAAAAGAATACTATTTGTTTGTTTGTTTTTTTTTTAAATCCATTGCTAATAATCGCCTACAGACTGTCACATAGATAAGACACTTTAGTATTTATCATTACTGCATGCAGCCCTGCAGCTCATTAATTGCATGCGAAGTGAGCACACCGGGCGAGCGAGGGGTGGAGGACTCCTTCCTCCTCACTTTCACTTTCACATCAAACTTTTTGTTTTATCTTTGGCACAATGAATCACGCTGACACTTCCCCTACCCTACCTCTCTCCTCCTGCTCTCTGCCCCGGGTCTGGTGATGAGCGCCGTGTCACCGCACACCACGGCCGCGTCCTCCACGAACACGCAGTCCGGGAGCGACTCGTCCGCGGGGAGCTCGACCACCTCCAGCCCGAGCCTCGTCCTCAGGACCTCGACGTACGCCTCGTGCTCCTTCTGCGCCTTGGTGAGGTTCACCTCCGACTGGCTGCTCCGGAGCGCTTCTTTGGCCAGGGACGCGGGGATTCCCCGGACGACGGCGTGGGTGTAATGACCAAAACCTGCCATTAAACCAGCCATGTTTTGCTTTCCCTTCACTTGGCACGCTCAAATCTGGAAAAAAAAGGACCAAAAAAAAAAAACCCTCACAGACAACTCAGCGAATGAATGAGAGAAACTACTATTAGTTAACTCGATGCTGCCTGGCTTGCTTATTTGTTCCCCGTTAGTTTGCTGGGTTTTTATTCTTTATTTACAGTAGCCTGCTACATACAGTGTCAGTCAGCCCTGTTCCAGTCTCCAGGCGAGCGACGGCGCTTCGGTGACGCGCACCGACAATCACGTGTAGCCTGCGAGTCTGTCAGCCCTCAGTGAGGCGTCCAGCCCAACAAGTGACAGTCAGAAACACACTGAACCTATGGCTCAATCAGTTCCACACGGGATCTGCAAAGTAGAGCCTGCAAGTCAAACTATTTCATGCTAAAAGTCTCTTGAAAAAGTCGACGATATATTCCACATTATTATTATTATTATACATTCCATATTATTTCCTAATTTTTCCATAGTTACTTTCAGAGATATGTAAAGGAACTAGTTAGCGTTAGTAGTTAAGTTATTCATCAACTATTTTGATACTAGATTAATGGTTAAAATCATTATTCAAGTAAAAATGCAATACGTCTAACATCTGACCTCTCAGTTTGGGGGATTTGCTGCTTTTCTGTCTTGTGAGATAGTAAACTGGATATATTTTGGTTTTGGCCTGTTGGGGAGACAAAGCAAGAAATCTGAAGCGAGTTGGGAAACACTTGATCATTTTTCACCATTTTCCGTCTCTTCTTTTATATTAATCAAAGTATAATTGCTGGTTGCGGCCTCATTTCTACTATAACGATGACTGTTTCTGGACCACTGTAACATTCCTACAGAAATGCTCTTGTGTTTTAAGATTTATACAGGATGCTTTCTGGAATGAGTGTAAAAGAAACCATTTGTTAGGAATATGAGAACACAATTTAATTAAACAATAAATTAACTATTTCATGGACGCCAATTATTTGCACAATTTCTGATCATGTATCAAGATTGACATATGTTGAGAAAATATATGGCATTTTAATGTTATGGGATCCCCAAGATATTTTATCTATCTTTACCAGATCTCCTTGCTCTTATTGAACTGAGTTCTTACACTAATGCACTGAAGCTTTATGCCCCTCACTTGTAAATCACTTTGGATAAAAGCGTCCACCTAATGAGTAAATGTAAATGTAGAAGGAATAGTAATAAGAAGTGGCCAGTATCTCTGTAAAAATCTGAATGGTCATAAAGCGGAAGATCATAAACAATGGATGAACATAGTGAGGGATGTTTTTGATGTCTGACTTGAAGAATAAGGGTGAGATCTTTCCTGGACAACCTTACTAGAAACAAAAGAGACGCTATCTTATCTGGATCTTCCCAAAGCTAGGGACATAAAGACATTAGAGTAAGAAATATAGACCCTGCTTGGATTCCATGCTTTATTAAAATATACTTCAATTGCTGCAAATAAAAACTGATAAAGACAGATCATAAGAAGAAATGCCTGTTCTTGAACTTGAGGACATGTGTATCTGCTTCACTCTTGGCAGACTTTAAGAAATAATGTACACAAACTTCAAGGGCAAAGAATATATACAGTATAAATCTCTACTTGTCCTGCAGTGTGTGAAGTGTAAGGCAAGAAGAGTGTGAAAGGAAGAGCAGTGTAAGTATGTGTGTGTATGGGAGGAGGAAGGGTGTTTGGTGGGGGGGGTTATATTCCCTATGGTGCCATCTAAGGAAGGTTCTGGGCCCGGTGAAGCTGTCTGAATGGATGGAATGTTTCTTCAGACGTCCCAGAAGCACATTCTTCCACCGCGGGACCTCGGTTTGTCTTTTCTTGTTCCAGATTCACTCAATTATCCCCGACTGCTCTAAACATTCCAGGAGCCCCACATTCCTTTTTCCACTCCAGCCAGGATCACCAACCACCACCCTCCTCCCAACACTAACACCTGCCCCCACCCAGGTTTCTTCTTTTTTTCCATCATTCCTCATCATGGATGGACGTGGCCCAAGAAAAGACCCTCTCTTTTCTCTTTTCTCTCCATGCTGAGGAATTTGGGTTACTTTGGATGAAGGAAAGCCCTCATACTTCAGGCACACCTGGCTGGTACATTGTGCAGCTATAAAAGAAAATGAGTGAAAGCAGACACGATGCTCCAGCTGCGGCACCAAAAGCAGCGCCTCTTTATTTGTCTGGTATGATTGGACTCATGATGAGATTGTAGACGTCTAATGTGGCACAGACATGCCTGATTACACAGGTGCACAGAGCACATTTAGCTTTTGGCATTCAGAAAAATTCATAAGCCTAATTACCACAGAAGATAATGTGATGAAATGGCATGAAATGAAATGATAAAAATGGATGTTTCTAGATGGAAACGATTAAGATGTTTTTCTGCTATCTAAGAAAAATTTGGAGTAAATGTCAGTTTTGATAAGAGTCTGTCGGCATTTGACATTAACAGACAAGACAAGTTTCATTTAGAGGAAAGGATGTACAGACATTTATCATCATGTACCTTTATCCAAAACTAGTAGTTTTGCCATTTACGTGCACTTACACCAACAAAGTCTTGTAGGATCTTGGAGCAAGTAAAATAAGAAACAAAAGAGGAAACAGATGCCATATATACTATAGGTAGATAAGTTCTTTTGAACATCCAATCCAACATACACCATCCTGCTGCTGTAAATACTCACTTGTGCACAAAATGTGCAACAATCCCTGGCTGAAAATAGTTCCAAGCAAATGCACTACTTACCTCTTTGAGTAAAGTTAGCTAAAAACTACAGTGCCCAACAGTTTTAAGAAATTACTAGGCTATTTTCAAAAATGAAACTCTATGTTTGTGACAGTTTGTGTTTGAGAGCCACGGAAAGGACTAAGACTAACACATAGGTTAGCCTTATCCTTTAAGCAATGTATTTGCACATTAAGTATCTGGAGCTAGAGCAGGCAGGTTGAGGGCAATCAGATACCAAAAAGGTACAACACTTCATCATACAATAACTCCAGGAATGCAGTGAATTTTAGAGATTGATGATATTGTTTCAGAATATCAAAGGGAGAATTTCTCCTTGAACCTCTCTTTCCTACAATTGAATAAGACACAAATGGAAGACATTTTTCCACATAATCATAACTGCTGATTACGTATTTTGACAAAGTGGAGACTCTTCTTTTGTCTTTTTTTGACAGGGCCCGTAGATTCCTCTGATTTTTACAGCGAGGTGCTGACAGTATGTGAATGTTAACTGATCCCATTTCACAAGGATTAGTTTGTTCTTCTGTGTTTCGCATTTCAGATGCCTTGGGCAAGTTTCATCAGATCAGAATAGAGATCTTAAATCTTAATCAACAGAATAATTTAATCATCCTGTACCAGTACGTTTTGCAAATAGGCTGAACTTCAGCCCATTTGTCATTGTGACCTTTGTAGCCTTTATATCAGAGTTTTGATCTGTCAGCAGTGTATTGTTGCTCTTCTCCCCCCCTCAATCGGTCAAGTTCCCACCCAAGCAACTAATGACTTCAGTTTTCTCATTTTTGCCAACACACTTCTTTAAATAGTGTTGTTGCACTTCCCTGATGTGTGATATTGTAGCAGCATGTTGACTACACAATAAACTGCACAAGTACACAAGAGACCCGTCTCATGATGCTGTTTGCGGACTATGTAACAGGCCTGAGTGTCCTGTGTTGTGGACTTTAGCTTCACCACTGTCACATAGTAGCTAAGCACTGTCCACAATCCTACTGAACATACCCTACTGAACAATGTCCTGCACATTACAATAGCAATAAACAACAGGAATGTACTGACTGTTTTTTGCACAAGATCATGAACAGAGGTGGACTACTTGCAGAATATCTTATAATCACAAGTAAAAATGCAGTCTTCAACTTTAAGCATAAACTGCACAAACCCAAAATAAACTTGGAGGGAGAAATTACACAATACAGGATATGAAAAAATTTCACTCATAACAAGATTATGAAACGGCGATCCTCCCTCAAGGTCTTTTCGTTTAATTACATCAAGATAACAAAGACAAAATGATCTAACTCTTGGGGTCACAGCCAGGACTGTGCCTCAATCAGCGAAACCTACCCACAAATGTTCCAATGAAATTCATGTGAATCTGTAATCTAGGGAGTTCTGTCATCCTGCAGCCTTTTCAGATCTTCAGAACTTGGCTTAGTGTTTTAATCATGGGTTTCATCTCTGCCCTGGTTTACACGAGAACGACTCATAACTCAGCAGACTTCCTGCTGCTCTGTGAGCTGACAGAGAAAGGAAATGTTGCTCATACACACTGCATACCAGCGATGACATTTATCTTGAATATATTACAATGGAATCTGTTGTCTAAACATGCCGGACTGTCCTGTTCTGTTCCATCTGTCACTTAGACAGAAATGGGGAGGCTGAGGGCTGCTCGCCACAGACTTCCTGAGAACGCCGTCTCTTCAGCTGTGAGAGCTTCTTGTGGGATCGGACAATAGGTTTCCATTACACTGAGCCGCAACACAACACACAATCTCTCAAACTTTAGTCAACAGTGAAATCGCATAAGCGTCTCAGCTGGAGGCTGTGAAGCTGCTCAGTTAGCCATGTTACAGAGCTGTGAGAATAATCCAGTGATAATGTCTGTGAAGGAAAGACACCCCGTCCTCAAGTTTTTTTTTGTTTTTTTTTTGGGGGGGGGCAAAGGAGTGTGTAAACTGTATGCATGTGTGATGGGGGTTCTCAGACAGCCTTAATGGAAACTATTATGCCAGGACAATTACAACATGGAGACGCATGTCCAGCTTTTGGAATGTTTCCTGAGCTGAATGGGTAATTATGGAATGAATGTTATTCTCCATTGACGCACAATGACAACACTGTTTCCTCTCGCCATAACAGCCATATACACACGCACTCACATACAATAGACTTAAGATCAACACAGCAGAGGACAATCAAACAAGACATGACATAAGACCGGCTGTACAAGCAGTCCACAGACATTAAAGGGGTATTCCAGCAAATTTAGCATTGCACTTCCACAAAGTTAGGAGACTTATGGGAGGCATTAAGAGAATGATCAACATTAATGGTGGGGATATCCTGACTTTTAGTTTCCTTGTATGGGCCAAGATCTGAAAATGTTGGATCCTACAGTTCCCATAATGCACCCAACACCATGTTGTTGTTAAAGCATCCCTGAACCACCTTGAACCAGTTCGCTATGCACCCTGTCTCTTAAAAATAATTCATCTCCAAACCCAAACAGAGATGATGACATTAACAGGGGTAAGTTTTTTCAAACTAAAGCTCCCTTCAGCGCCTTAGAAGATCTTTTCCAACTGTTTTCACGGGCTGACTAGTACTGGTGAGGAAACTGATGCTGATGCGTAAAATCAATGGAGTGCCCTTCCAGAATCTTACATTTTATATTTACATAGGGCACACACACACACACACACATAGAGCCAAAAAAAAAATACACACAAGATAGAAAAACACGTGCTCACACAGACACACCCCCTGTCCAAATAGGCTGTACGCACACACACACACACACGCACACGCACACACAGAGTCACACCTCCTATTCACACGTACACAAGCAACAGGCTATATGAATCAACAACGTAATCGTATAAATATGACCTGTTCTGTTCTGCTTACTGACATTTGGATATTGGTCATTCTTTATATCATGTACATAGTTATCCTTTACACATCACCATCTAGTGTCTTGAACTGGAAGTATGAAATCACGTCCGTAAAATCAAAACCTAAACCCAGACAGTCCGCGTGAGAAACCCTCAGTTACGTCAAGTCTATAAAAAAAAAAAGTTTCAGTGTTCAGTGTCCGCCTGTCCACCTCGGGTATGGAATGACTAGAGGAAAAAAAAACACTTTCAAGAGTTATTTACTTTTGCTGAAAGATCTCATATTCTATTTTAGCTGCTATGATTCATATTCGTATATCGGGAGTGCGATGATGAGTCAGGGTTTTGCAGGTAAACGCTGAGTCGTGGTCATCAAAGAGCCCGTGGAATAAAGTGACGACGAAGGAGAAGAAGAAGTGTTAAAAACTCACCGGAGAGGCTCTTCGGCCGTCTGGTTCAGTGCTGCTGTCTCAGTGTGTATCGTTATGTTAAGTCTACACAGGAGGCTACGGGGGAGAGAGAAGTAGAGAGATGTCCGATCCCTATAAACACAAACAAACAGTCTGCTCTCATGCAAAATGTCCTCTTTAGCCGTTCATGGTCATAATAACGGTTTATGTTGCGTCTTTACGCATTTCGTTTCCCTCTGGTGAATGTTTTCATCAATCGGAATAATTGGAAAACTTCGGTGAAGGGGACTTATTGAGACCCCTGATGTAAAAAAAGAAAAAAGAAAAAAAAAAAAGAAAAAAAAAAAAGTAGACAAAGACCAAGTAGATTTGTCTCCCCCCACCAACACCACAACATCTCTTGTGGAAAATTGGATCCCTTCACCTACCCCGGGACCCCCACTCCCCCCCCCCGCACCCCCCGAAAAGTGATGGACAGATTGCGTGAAAAGTCAAATTGCCTCAAGGAATGAATGCAAAGGAATTTCCCTGCATGAAGAACATATTTAACAAGCCTTTAAGCTGTCAGGAATGCTTTGTGGTCTGCTGGCCAAAGGGAGAGAAATATGTTAATAATGTGGGCTACTGCCATACCAAATATGGCAATATTGTTACGTCTGAGCTCTGGTGCGCATCTGGAAATGCTTAGCTCCTCTGAATAAAGGCACTGCAGAGCCAGAAATAGACACTGTTAAACGTATTTCTGCCCACACCTTTAAGACTCACAGACAAAAACCTAAAGCTATTTTAAACGTGGCCACTACAACAACCTATAAAAGTGTATTTAACAAATTGCTTTAATCAGCAAAAGCATTACTGACACAGAAATCACCAGTAGTCTCATTCTCATTCGGGAGACACTGTATAAATGACACTGAAATGAGTTTATAGTTACATTAAAATACCTTTTGGCACGTTTTCTACACACTGGGATGTTACTTTGGGATGATAGGTGACATGTTTTATGATATTTTAAATCACAGGGTAACATGTTTTAAAACCTAGAATCTGTCAACAGTTGGACTGAAACCAATAACTTATAAAATATCAAATTATTTCTTTCACTTATTTGTGGACAAAGTGAAAAAAACACGTATGCCACCCAGGAATTATTATCACAGACAAAAAGAAGTTACAAAAAAGCCCATAAAATCCACTACTTCTACAGAAAACTCCACTGAACTTGAGTTGATAGATGTGAGAAGCAAGCAGAGGAAGAAAATGAAAGGGGGTATAAACAAGAAGGGAAAAATGTGAGACGGAAAAGTGTGTTCAGATGGGATCCAGGGGGGAAAAATCCATTTGAGAAAGAAAAAAGAGAAAGGTTTAGACAGGGTGGAGCTTAGGTCTTGGATGGAAAATGCGCCGAGAAACATTCCTGGCATAGTTTGGGAACAGTTCAGCAGGCAGCCCAGGAACGACGTCAGCTTCCCACTACGGTATAAAAGTCCGGAGGTGGCCGGACCTCAGCAGACTGCAACCGCTTTACCAAGAGCTTCATCTACTCTAAAGGAGCCTCTAACACCAGAGACTACCAGCAAACAAGTCAAGAGAGACAGACGACTGAGTGAGGGAATACCTAAGGACTCCTCCGAAGACAGACTATATCTACTTTTCATAAACTGGGAACAGGATTCCTCTTGAACGCGCACAAGAAAATTTATCCAAGATGCTGATGCTTACTGTTTTCCTCGCCTTCTTTGGAAGCCCGAACTTGGTAAGTTATTCCTCTATTTCAGTCTTAAAGGGAAACGTTTCAGTAGTTATAATTTAGCCTAAGGAGAGGAAAATGAGCAAATGTTTCTTTTAAGGGGACGAAATGCCAAGAGAGTTCTTTAGTTTTGATATGGTCTGTGTGGCATGACTTCAAAAGTTTCAGCCTTTAATAATAAGGGGTTTTGTTGTTGCTGTGCAGGTCCTCTCCTCCTCTTCTTGCCCCTCCGTGTGTGAGTGCCCGCTGGAGATGCCCAAGTGCGCACCCGGCGTGAGCGTGGTCCTGGATGGCTGCGGCTGCTGCAAAGTTTGCGCCAGGCAGCTGAACGAAGACTGCAGCCTGACCGAGCCTTGTGACCACACTAAAGGGCTGGAGTGTAACTTTGGGGCCAGCTTTGCTGCTGCTACTACTCGTGGCATCTGTCGAGGTATGTATAAAGATCACTCAGCTCCAGATGTGCATGCCTCTGAAGTTTTTTTTTTTTTTTAGAGAAAATAAGGGAGCTTAATTCAGGAGTATGGGAACCTGTATGATTTCAACACTGTGGAATGCAGCTAGGAGGAAACTTAGACTAAACCTCAAAGCACAGACAGCCCACTGTGGAGGGAAAGAGACTCCTCAGGCAGCCTGAAGAATTTCACAGTTTAACTGATCCTTATCTGGCAGCCATGTGATGTCTTCAGCAGACGTCTCTGAGCAGAGCAGGAAAGAATAACATTCCTTTCCTCCTGTTTTTTCTCCCCGCTGCAGCCAAGTCAGAGGGCAGACCCTGCGAGTACAATAGCAGGATCTACCAGAATGGAGAGAGTTTCCAGCCCAACTGTAAACACCAGTGCACATGCATCGATGGGGCAGTGGGATGCGTGCCACTGTGCCCACAGGAGCTCTCCCTGCCCAACCTGGGCTGCGCCAACCCAAGACTGGTCAAGGTTGCAGGCCAGTGCTGTGAGGAGTGGGTGTGTGATGATGGCAAGGAGACAGACATCCTGGAGAGGATCTTTGGAAAGGACACAATGACAGATGAACTGGAAAGAGACCTCACCAACAGGAATGAGCTCATTGAAATTGTCGAGGGAGGACTCAAGTCTCTACCAGGTAAGAAGCAGCCTTTTATTCTGGAAATGTTTTTTTTCTGGAACCATCAATGGAAAGATCTTAAAGTGAATAAGATTTCAAGTTGCTAACTTGATGTTTTTTTTATTTCTTTTAATCACAGCATTCAGACCACAGCCTGAAGTCCACATGTTTGACAGCCAGAAGTGCATCATCCAAACCACACCCTGGTCCCAGTGCTCCAAGAGCTGTGGAACTGGCATCTCCACCAGAGTCACCAACAACAACAGCGAGTGCAAGCTGGTCAAAGAGACAAGAATCTGTGAAGTGCGGCCATGCACCCAGTCACCTTACTCCAGTCTCAAGGTAAGCTTGAGCCACCATGATTGAATGAAATGGAAGCATGCATGACACTGAAAACATGCCACTGCTTGGTCCAAGTGCAAAACTAATCTCCATCTCCCTTTTGTTTAATCCTCTGCAGAAAGGAAAGAAGTGTAGCAGAACCAAGAAGTCCAGTCAGCCAGTGAAGTTCACCTACGCCGGCTGCTCCAGCCTGAAGAAGTACAGGCCCAAGTACTGCGGAGCCTGCGTGGATGGGCGCTGCTGCAGCCCTCATGTCACCAGAACCATCCGGGTCAAGTTCCGCTGCGAGGATGGCGAGACCTTCAACAAGAACATCATGATGATCGAGTCCTGCAAGTGCACCTACAACTGTCCCCATGCCAACGAAGCCTCCTACCCATTCTACCGCCTCTCCAACGACATCCACAAGTTCAGAGACTGATTGGTGACGAACGCGCAAACCCCTCAACAAGAGAAAGAGATCATCAGCATCGCTGGCGGCCAATGGCAGTCCAGATGAATGCAGGGGTGTAAATAGACCACCAATCAACTACCAGCTTCTTGTTGTAACTAGATTCCCAAGGAATTGTGGGCTTACATCATGAGGACTTAATGAAGTGCACTGTTTGCTGTGACTACATCAGCATTCTTAATAAGAACTGCTTCATATTAATGGAGCATCTGAAGTAGCTTCGTTATGGAGCAAGATGTAATTAATATTTGTACATTTATGTTAGTCGCTGATATCAATTCACTGTGTATATTTTGATCCTTTACATCAGACATGACCCAGACTGTTGACTTGTGTGTGTATATGTAGATATGCACATGCGCAACTTCAATTAGCATACCATCCTGTATCTTAAGAACATGACACCGAAATGTAGCCTCTTGACTTGTTTAACAAGTGTGCGGTTTCATTCCTTCCTGACGTGGGCATTACTGTTCATGTTTTGTGGCAGCTATTGAACTCCCTTCATGAAAAAGACAAAGCGAAACATGTCAAAGGATGAATGAATGTTTTTATTATTGTTATTAATATTATTTATCGAAAAATGTAGCTACTTTATTTGGATATTATGTGTCATACTGGAATAAATTGTAAAATGATTTAATTTTATATGCTACAAATAAAACTGATTTATTTATGAAATATAACACTGCCTGAGTCCGGTCTGTTCAGACTACACTGCAGGACACAACAAACAAACAAACAAACAACACTCCCATGCACAAAGGTGGGGGAGGACATTTAAAGTCACTACTTCCAGAGAAAATCCCCCTGTTATATCATTGTGTAGACCCAGCAGATTCTCAGACAGACACTGAGCAGGGTCAGTCTGTTCTTATATAACTCAACCTTGGAGGCTCTCTCTCCTGACTTTCTGTGCTTTGGAATGCTATTCTGCAGCAGGCTAGCTTGCTTTCATTTGATCTGGCTAAGCCATACACTTGACTGATTCTGAGAGGGGGGAAAAAAAGATTAAGTCCACGAGTAGCAATGAGTATGGGAGTATGCCAAGAATCTTAAGTGCTGCACTGAATGGGCTGGGATTAGACACCATGCAACAAGGACAATGACTATTATTGTATACAATGGGGTGTATACAAAGCATGCATTCCCGGGTAAGCTTTTTTTCACACGGTGGAATAGCACTACCAAATTGACCTAATTCATTAGCAGTTGCCTTTAACAGTGAATTAGTTGCATTGGCCTCTGCTGGCTCTTAAACTGCAGGGGTCTGCTAAAGCGTTGTAAACAGCCCTGCGGAGTACGGAGGGCTTAAGTTTCCCTTCCAGGTTTCACTTTAACAGGCATTAAGAAATACTATTATGAGGGAGAAAAAGGGGAAGGACAGGAAATAGGGGTGACATATTTGCTTCTGTGGTCATAGAAAACTTTAAATTTAGTTTTCCAGCTACTGAGACAGTGTGTTGTTACTGTCACATAAACACCACATAACTCCTTCTCATTATTTATGTTTACCTGAGCTCAGATTGGTCATGTTAGCTTTAAGCCTGTGAGTTTTATGACCACAAGGTACATGAAACCCATGCAATATGAAAAAATAAAGCGATAAGTATCAGTCTGAAGAGGACACGTTTTTACAGGGTCACAGGGTCTGGTGGCAGATGCTTGCACCTGGTATAAATACCTACAGTAC